ACTAGTTCTTCACATACCTTGGATTTCGATAATATATAGGATTCTTTAGAAGAACAAACAGCAGAAGGAGGAAAGAAAAGAAAAGTTCAATACGCCGATGTAGCATGTCTTGATACAGTTCATTTCGAAGATGGGTTAAGCACTGGAAAGGACGCAGAGATGAAGAAAAGGAGGGAGGAAGCTGATAAAACGTATTCACCACTAAACCTAGAGCACGGACCATCATGGAATGTGAAGTTATTAAATTTAAAGAGAAGGAGGTTCAAGAGACGGTGAAAAAGAAGGGGGGTAAAGAAGAAAAAGAGGAAAAGGGAAGCCCAAGCAGCTGAAGATGAGGCAATGAAAAGGAAAAGAGATGCATTAAAAAGGGCTTACAAGAAAAAGATCCACGCTTACAAGACCAAGTACAAATCACAAAAAGTTAGGCGTGCGTTCCCGATGCTCGAAGATGACAAAACGTAGATGGGAAGGAGTCTAGCTAATGACTCCTCAAAAAGAAGCGCTTGGCGGGAGGCAACCCGTTATATAGAGTTTGCTTTCTTTTACTTTTTAGTTTTTATTTTTATTTATTTTCCCTTCGTTTTTTAAATCTTAATCTTCCAAATCATCGGGCATGTCTGCTTGAGAGTGTGCATAAGCTAAGTGTGGGGTGAAATGATTTACAATAAATAACAAAATTTTGAAAATTATGCATTTTTTTAAGCGACTCGCCGAGTCTGACCACGACTCGACGAGTCCACATGGATTTCAGAAAAGAATTGACTTCGCGACCAGACTCGCCGAGTCTGACCACGACTCGACGAGTCGGTATTATTTACAGAAAAAAAAAATTTCGAAATTACTTTTACATTGGGTAAGTAGGGTTTTAACCCTAAGAATCAGTTTTCACAAACCACACTCGTCGGGTGCCGCTATTTTCATTCTCTCTCAAGCATTCATCATTCTTCTTCAAGTTTCTTTCAAATTTCTCAAGCCCAATCCAAAAAGGTAACAAATTTCTTCCTATTTTCTGTTAAGAGCATGATTATAAGGCCATCTATGGTAGCAATTGCATGAAAAACCCGTTTTTGAGAAGTACTAAATTTCTAGGGTTTTGATTTTTCATGAATTAAGTTGTTTTGAATGCTTATTTTGGCCTTAATACATCAATACTAAGTGTTGAGACAAAACCCTTGAAAGAATTTATAGGTTTTATGGTCCAATTTGTAGTGACCCGTCGACCGACTCGTGTAGGTTGCGCGACTCGCCGAGTCGGGCCTGGACTCGACGAGTCCAGTCGAGTTACAGATAGAAGACAATTTTTAATTATATTCTGTGTTTTCTGGGTTTTGTGTATTTGTTTTGCAGAAATCATGTTCAGAAGGGGACAAAGTTCTAGTGCAACCAAGGGGAGTTTCCATGGCTAAACTTCCCGCAAATTGAGTCCGCTTCAACAATGAGGAAATGGAAGAAGAAGCTATCTGATATTAAGAAGAAGGAGGTATGTGCCAAACAGGATTGATTGGGAGTGGCTGCAAAGTGTTCGATATGAGGAGGAATTAGCTCCTTACCTTTTGAAGGAGTTCCAACATGAAGGCGAGACAATGATCTGTCGGGTGGAGCCGGGTCTTCCGTATACAAGAGCGGTTATTTAGAGCTTTGTTTGGAGTTTTTCTCCACGGTATCTTTTACCGGGGAGTGGATGTGTATCACCCGGCAAGCTTTAGTTTTTGCCTTGGGGGCGAGTATCGTCAATGCTCGGTGGTGGATCTTGCCTGTCGACTAGGGATCTACGATCACCCTTGGTTCAACAAACATCTTTCGGGCCTTTTGGCACACACTCATATGGTGTTCCCCGATGAGTTACAAGTACGGGCTGGTGGAATACCATTGGAAATAAAGTTTACATCCCAAAGTCTGCACAGGAAGGGAGCATCCGATCCCCAACTCACCGCCTCATAACCGCCTTATTTCCTCCACCATCAATCAAAGAAAAGATGATGACAAGGTTTCCAACCTTGACGTCTTCTATTTATGGAGCATAATTACACCCGGCGTCTTTTGCAACATTCCTTGGTGTATAGCTTCATACCTTCGGAGGGTGCGGTCAAAGATCGCAAAACCTCCCGTATTAATGGTGGGATGTTTGTCACCCGATTGGCTAACTCATTCGGGTTGATGAACCGCGGTGCATGGAACTTCATGACATTGATCCCTACACCTCCGTTCAATCCCATTCTTTTCCGAAGAGCACGGATTATTGAAGACTATGGTGGTGGCCATTATGCCATCCCAAATGATGACCCCGTTATTGGTCCCGAAGCACCGGGAAGGAGGGTAAGATCAAGAAGAGAGCGGGATGTGGATGACGAGCTGCCAATGATTCCGGTCGAGAATGAAGACGTACCAATGGATTGGTACAATGTGGAGATGAGGCGGATGCAGGATCAAATGGCGCGGGGGTTGAACTTTAGCAACCAATCTCACATTCGACTTTTTGACCACTTCCATATCCCACATATTGATGGTGGAAATTATCCATTTATTCCATCTTGGGATGAGGTGATTGGTGCGAGACGAAGTGGAGCCGGAGGAAGTGGAGCCGCCAATGATGATGAGGAGGACGAAGATTGATTTTTTGTTTAAATCAAACAATTTTAATTTTCTGTTTTGTTTTTATTCTTATTTGGTGTGTATGACTTGTTTGAGATTTTACTTTGCTTAATGATTGTATGTTTTAGTTATTTTTCAGGATTGAATTAGGATTGCTTGCTTAGGATGGTTTAGAGTTATAGCAAACGGGTGTTATCACGAGTGAAAGTGAGTCAAGGAAGCGGAACTTTAACGTCAAAGTGTCGAGTCCGGTCCTTAGGGGTATGAGCAATTGAGTCCGAACATGGGGAAGAGTTACAGAAGTTTTTAGAGGCTAAAATAGTTGCAAAATACCAATTTTTTTCCGTTCAGTGGCCTACTCGTCGAGTGCACTAAGCTGACTCGACGAGTCGCCTTGTATTTTAACAAATTCTGAGAAGGCGCGCTGGTACTCGACGAGTCAACCATATGACTCGACGAGTCGTTCATTTTTATACCGACGGACTGCTGATTTGATGCTGCTACTTGTACCACTTGCTCACTTATTCTTCCATATCCATTCTTGAAGATCTTACACCGATTTCCGTGTATTTGGAGCGACCCACACGAGACGAGACACCCAAGACATGGATGAGATGTTACCATGTCTAAAGTTGATTGAAGTTGGAGCTTAAATGAGAGTGATCAACCTATCCACTGCTATCCCAGGGGAGTTTGTTCCAATTCCCTCTTTAGTTTCTTTTTATGTTTTTATGCATAATATGCAATGAGGGCATTGCATCACATAAGTGTGGGGTAGGGGTTGGTTACATAATAGTCAATTTTAAAAAATTTTGCATACCAAAA